GAAAACATTGACCCAGTCACAGATTCCGAGGTGGTCCAGAGTGACATGTGAATCTTGTTTTCCATGGCATGGGAAACAATCTGTCTTGTACCCTATCCTACCCTCGTATGAACACAAGGCACCATTCCCTCTGGCTGCCATTTGGTGATTGTGAGAAAAGCCAACCTTGGGATGGAGAAAGGATGAAGAGAATCTCAAAGAAACAGCTGGACGCCGTGGTGTACTGGAGCTGGCGTGGACAGCCTCCTCAGAGCTAATGGAGAAATATTCAGGAATCTGATGAGCCTGTTCATGTAATCTTGGTAACTTAAAATTGGTCCTTGAGGGGAAAGTTACATCATGAAAATCTACAAAACCTATACATCAGATCTGCTTCTTCTTTTTTTTTTTTTCCTCTTCCTCTTCATTTTTTTTTCCCTCCTTCTCCTCCTCTCCGTCCCTACAAAGCTGGTTGTTAAACATTTATGAACTTTAAGCAGCTCGTATCTCTGGCTAAGCCCTGCCCGGAGCATGGCCTTCTCCTTTCCTTTCCATATTAGAAACTATTGTGTAAGTCAGTTGACCCAGATTTGCTGTTTCTGTTAACCAGAAGCATATCTACCAGGGCCTCCAAGGTTCTCCATAGTAACAAGAGCTACCATCACGCAGCTTTATGAAGTACCAAGAACCGGTGGCTACTAATTCACTTTAGCTCAAGCACACCATTTATCTCCACAAAGAAGGTACTTTTATAATCTATAATCCATAAAGAAACCAAGCCTTAGAATGCAAAGCCTCTTATCCGTGCTTCAAAGAGAACTACTTATGGTTTTCCAAATGCACAAAGCTTTTTCAGGGCTTAGGGCCTTACCTACGATGTTTCCTGTTCTTATAGACCATGTCCATATGATTAGGTGCAGCACACCCATAAGGATCGTGACTCACAGCCTCATGGAGGTTTTTGTCATTCTCTGGGCTGGGTGACCACTCTTCTCCCTATGTGTTTACCTTGTTTAAAGTGATTTTTAATTAGATAAAATAATGTAGAGTACTTATTCATTTTCTTAGTGCTTTTCCCTGATAGGTGATTCTAGTAGAATCTATAGAGTCTAAGATTGACAAAAGCAGGAATCTTATCTTTTTCTTGTCTATATCTTCATGCCTAAGGCTGTGGTTGTCACAGGGTAGCTACTCAATGGGTGCTGGCTAATTGACTTGAATGAATGAATGAACCCTTGCGATTTGTCTTTATTTCATTGAAATTCAAGGAAAGAAGAAAAAAAATAGGCTGGTGTTACTCAATAGCATATATTCTTATATTATATGGGTGAATCTTCATAAAGTTATCAAAACTCTTCCTTCATTTTCCCCTCATCTTCAAATCACCATCTTCATCTTCACATATGGTCTTCCCAGGTCTCGGGCCCATGGAAGAATACATTCAGAGATATTGGAAAGATCAGTGGCTTTTGTGTCATGAATTTTAGGTCTATAATTTACTGGCTATGTCATCTTAGAAAAATTCTTTTTTTTTTCTCCCATAAAGAGGGAAGATAATTTCCAACATGTAAGGTTGCCAGGTGAAAGTTAGTAGTTGGTAAATCCAGCTGCATGGTAATGGGCATTTAATAAATGGTAATTCTTGATCTGCATGCTCCATAATCTTAGTCACATTGTGATTTTTCCCCCCTGAGGTCTATAATCTTAGATTTAGTATCTGATCTTCAATTTACTTAGTTTGATATTATTATTGCACCCTATTAATCTTAATAATAATACATAATAATAACTACAAATTATGCCTAGGGCAACTGGAAGTAAAGTGTTTTAAGCTGAATCTCTATCATCTATGGGTCTGAAAGACGTTTCTGATATTTAGAGTTAGGTCATGACTTTTCTTTGGTCCCTTCCATTTTTTTTTTTTTTTTTTTACATAGATCCAATGTATACGTATGTTCTCATGTAGGAATTGCTTGTATGCATCTGGTATGTATATGCCAGTACGTGAATTTATGTACATACGTGAGAAACTGTCCTTTTATCCACAGGCGATCAGGATGTGAGACCTGGATGTTACCAGAATGTGTAACAAAAGCAATCATACTTTGTCATGTTCTTGTATTTCATTCTTAAAGAAACTCTTGAGGGAGATGGGCTGTTCCTAGTAGTTTGGATGGAGTTACTTGTGTACTATAGGAGGTTTTAAGATTGAACAAGGCAGATTTGGGGAAATATCTCTGAGTCTTGTAAATGTCATGTTTGAGCCATTGGAATAGTCTATATCAGCTGGTTGATAATTTTTTGCACTGAATGGAAGGCTAGCCACTTTGAATCACTCTAGAAGGAAGAGGTTGCAGGACTGGACGTGCTCTGGCCCTTGGATTGCTGGAGAGGACATTTTTTCTTTCATGAGGCCCTGGAATCAGGCTTGAGAGCATCTGGAATATTTCCAATGGTGAGAGTCAGTGGCTGTTGCTCAGAGGAACAGTCTAGAAGACAGGCAGCTTGACCTAGTAAGGAGAACTGGTTTGTATACGATGGTGGCAATTGCAAGCTACTTCTGAATCTCTAAAGCTCTGTTAAGTCTGGGGTAAGCCACGTCCTCCCTAATCCTGTCCCCATTGTGATTTGGAAAATTGTGTAAATGCACAGAAAGAACAAGGAGGAGTCAGTGGGGGGCTGTCATGAAAAATAGCTGAGCACTGTGGGTAGTGCAAGGGATCAGAGAGAAGGATTGACAGATTGTTCAGGACTATGTGAGACAGGAGACTGAGAAACTCTTGGAAGACTATCTGCCACTAGTAGCTTGAAGAAAGTTGGAACCATGAAAAGAGAATGCAACATTTTATAGCTACTCGCTGGTGAGATCGGTGATTTATAGGTTGTACATGTATTTCTTATCCTATTTAATTCTCAATGATCAGGTTGCAAGTATTATCCCTTCTATTTTACCACTATGGAAAATGAGAATTAAATAGATTAAGTGCTTTCCCAAGTCTTAACTGCTTGTAAAATGACTGTACTGAGATTTGTGTTATATTCATCTGCAACCAAAGTTAATGCACTTTCTAGAATTCCATGAAGCCTCTTAAAGGAGTGAAGATACAACTGGAAACAAATGTGGTGTCCTGGTTAATTTCCTGTGGCATTTAAACAAAGGGTGGCAGTGAAGTGTTGCTATCCTTATGTTTTAGTGGATCTTTTAGTATAAGTTGTCTATCATTATCATTGTCTGTCCAGATGTCTTGACAGAAGAAAGAGTTGGATATAGGTGAAATTTGTGTTTTCATGAGAACCAGTAACATTTCACATCTTAAGTAACACTTTTAATTCTCAGGTCGATATCCTGAAATTGATTTTTCCCCTAGTGATAGAAAACCTACTTAGAGTAGCACTCTCTGCTTGATGTCATTGAGAAGAATATTGCGCAGTTTAGAGGATGCTGCGTCTGGCCTGAACTCTGCCACAGAGCTTTGTGAGCATGGGTACATCTCACATGACTCCTTATTTTAAAACCAGGACTTTGTAATCTCTAATGTGTTTCAGCTCTATGATTCAATGTGTGTCTTAAACTCTGTGGTTGCTGGGTATGAGTTTGTGAATGCAAGAACGCTTAGGCAAAGGTGCAGAAAGGCAGCACCTTCACTTGGCAGATACACACAAGCACTTCTCTGGCAGTTGTTACAATATTCAAATGCTCCCATGCTACTTAGTAAGTGGTGGCTCATCTGAAGCATCTGCCTTACTCCAGCTCTCCTAATGACACCCCCATGCAGCCGAGTCATGGTTCTTCATAGAAGTTTTTTTTTTTTTTTTTAAGGTTTAAAACAATTTCTCCCTTATAAACCAACCATCATCCCAATCAGAGACTTGGGGGAGAGTGCAGGTGGAGGAGAAAGCAGTGGCTATTGTGCTAGCACCGGAGGGTGATGAGGTGGACATGAAAACTTAACATCATGCTGGACACCCACGATCTCTTTCTGTATCATCCTGTGTCCATTCTCTCTCCTTTTCCCTTTGTCCCCCCACCCCACTTCTTCTTCTTCTAGAAAAAGGAAAAAGAAGGTTTATTGCTTTGCTAGCAAAGGGGAAACACAGGAGACTCCTCTCCCAGAGCCTGTGATTTTGCCCATCAGCAGGAACAGGAGGCTTTTAAAGAGGTGATTTAAAGGCCACCTTCCACATGTTTTGGTTGGACTTGTAATTCACTTGTTAATTTGCGAGATAGTCATTTCTGATCTGGTACCATTCCCAAAGTCTGGATTACTTAGCACCTATGGTGGGTGTGTGCTCAAGGACAGACAAATCTGCTAAAATGGGGAAGAAAGGTAATCCTGTGTCCCCTGAGATTAGGGACAAGGAGAGATCAGGGAGGAGCGGGGAGAAAGGAAGAGAATCAAATATGTCCACTTTAAAAATAAGTTTCGGTGGCAGAGCAGCGAGGGTTATATTTAAAATGGAACACTGTTACATTTTCCCACTGTCAATTTCTACATTTCATTTCTATGGAAAAATGGGCAATGACATGTCCAAACTGCTTTCTGCTGAAAGGAAGTGAAGTTGGGGGAAGTAACCCAAAGTCCTTGTTCTCTACCAAGTAGGATGTGGATAGTTAAGGGCATTCAGCTTCAGAGCAGTCCAGAGGTCCATAGTGGCTGATGGCAGGTGACAGGACAAGGCATACAAAGGGCAGGACTTATGCTAAGACAGCAATAAACAAGACAGCAAAGTGCTATTTGTAAACAGTTAGCATAAAAACAATTGATATTTTAGCCAGTCTCTGAAAACCATGGGGATGGTAACTCATGATCTTATCAGTGAAAAACAGATCGAGTTTCTCAATGAAGGAGGTTAGGAAGATTTGTAGGTCTATGAGATCAGACTCAAATTAACTCGGGACAAATTTGCGACTCTAGAGTCCTTTGTGATCATTATTATTAGGCACTGTCACACAAGAATCCTTCCTTTATAGCCTCTAGCTTTACTTACTTTTTGTAGGGCTGACACATGTGTGCATCTAAAAAAACACAGAATGCTTCATGAATTTTTGTGTCACCCTTGCGCAGGGGGCCATGCTAATCTTCTCTGTATTGTTCCAGTTTTAGTATGTGTGCTGCCAAAGCCAGCACTTCTTCTTTTCCTCTTCTCCTTCTTCCCCTGCCCTTCTTCTTTTAAAATATGAGACTTAAAGGGGGAGGGGGAAATCAGTGTTTTCATGTTTTCCTGGATCTGTTACTTAGGATTCTCATCAGAACACAACAGTGAGTAGGTAGGTATCTGTCATTAAGATATTAGACTTCCAGTACTTTGGGAATAGAAACACACAGAAAAAAAAGCATTTCAAGTGCCATTAAGTGAACTCAAAGTGATTCTTGTATTCATTTCTCCATTCAAAAAATGAAGAAAATGTTCTGTGGTACTTTGGTTGGTAAAGAGAACAAGACACTCATAAATGTACCATCTTTTACTGATCTGCAGACAGTGTTCCTTGAAGAAGTAATCTAATAGTTCTCTCCTCCATTTAAGGACTGTACAAGTTTATACATTTCTAGATATTTTAAATAATTTGCCCAATGCCCCTTCAAATCCTTGAGACCCCAGCATCATTATTGCTCTTCCTGGATGGGGACTTAGGTGAACGGAAGTTGAGTGAGAACACTGGATGCTAACATATGCTTTGTTGGTGTGTGATTTTCTTTCTTATAAGTCAGCCTTGCTATCCCAAAAGCCCCCCCCCAAAAAAAAAAAATTAAAACCCATGGCTTTGAGGTTTTGTTCCTCTGATTGACATTGGGTAACTTTCTGAAAGCTCTCTGAAGTTCTTTTGATAATCTATTGCTATTCTTGACAGAGTTTTATAGTTGATGACTTTGAAGCCCACTTATCTTCCTTAGCTGATTGAAGATGTTGCCGATATGCTTTCCTAATTAGTTTGTGAAGTGGGTGGAGTTGGAGCAAAGTCAATTCCATCCTGCTAAAATCTAATCAATGCCAGTTGACGGAACGACTTCAGTTTATTTAGCTGATTGACCCTCGGCTTCTTCAGAAGTTGTTTTCTCTTATTTTCAATTTTGATGATTAAAAAAAATGATTTAATTACAGCAGTCACTTCTATGTTGCTTGATATGTTTTCATGAAATTCTTCTCCACTTTTCCACCTTAGGTATAATTCATAAGGCATGCAAAGTGGTTCTGCTGAATCAATGATATTTGATGCTCCAAAGTAGAAATGAGACAACACAATTTTTTTTCTTCTGACTTTTCATTCCCTTTGCTATGCAGACAAGTATTTATAGAAAGAAAAGACGGCCCAAATCTTTTGCAAAAATATTTACAGTGTACTAACTTTTGTTGCGATGTACTTCAAGGTTTTTATGATGCAGTATTTTGCAAAGCCTTTCACTGGTAGAACTTTTCTTATTGAAGTAATGAATAGAAAAATGGCGTTTCCTATTTATTTGAAGAAGAATTATTGTGACTGCTTGCCTGGGCATCAAGCTGAAATGCTAACAAAACCATTTCACATCCCAACGAACAACCAACCAAATTTTGTTTCTGTCAAAATAATAGAAACAAATGGTTCCAAACCAGAAATGCCGCTAGTAAATATTTTCATCAGCATCAAGCTCTGTGACTATTAAAATTTGTCCAAATTAAATGTTGATTTTTGAAACAAATGCCTTCTTTGTGAAATGCTTGCCAGCAAAGATACGGCCAACCCTGAGGGCAAGTTCACTTATGTGAAAGATATCGGATTCGTGAGAGCCCAATGAAATGGAGAAAACCTCAGCAAACCTCTCCCTGAAAAATAGGAAATGTTGAGTCTACATAAGCATTGAAAATTTGTACTGAGTCTTACTTCAAATGCCTTTTTATTTTCTTCTTTTTGGTGCTGGGGTCTGAATGTAGGGCCTTGCACATGCTAAGCACATGCTTTACCACTGGGCTACACCCATAGCCACTCTAAATGCTATTTTGAAGAAATTTTATAATTAGCTAATGGGGAGTGTGGGCTGGCCACTATGATTCAGATGTACCAAACTATCTTAGACAAGTCTCAAACTGAATTAGGGTCCTTGCTTCATTTTGATTAAACTGTCACATACAAACTGCATACAAACCACCTTTAAATGGAGACTATAGAGCAATAAGCCTTCTTTTCTTTCTCCTGCCCCCTGTAGGTTAGCTGAGCCTTTGCTGATCTGGGATAGAGCTGTCTGGCTTAGCTTTGCAGATGAAGCCCTTGCTTCCTTACTAGAGGCAGGAGACCTTCAGTAAGGCCAGGCAGATGCTGAGGGCTGAGTGCAGGACAGGTACTGAGACGGGTCTTCCTTCCCCTGCTCCCATGTGTTTGTATATCTCACGTTTCTGTCTCTTCTTGAACCAGACATTACATGAGGTATGTTCTTCTCATGGCAAAAGTAGGAAAGTGATAAGCCAAGCTGAAGCGTGTATGTGTATTTCAAATCACCACATGTGTCATAGAAACTCATATTATACTCATGAAAACAAATTAGTGGTTGAACAAGGGGTAGAGAGGTACATTTTATCCAGCAAGAGGTCAAGGCAAGTCGTGTGGATAGGATGGGGGATGGGTAAGAATATTATCTCTTATCATAGGGCAAGGGACAAGTAATATACTCCCCCAACAACATTATTATCTACCAAAAGTAGCAAAGCTAGAAAATAAAATACCAGCAAAGTCATGAGTGCCGTAGATCATAACTAGTCTTTGGTACTCTCACGGTCCAGAGTAGCCACCTATGGAGATGAAAGAGCAGAGTCAAACATGGTTTAAAGAGAGGCCTCTTGCTTACAGTCTGTAGCCAGAAAGGAGTGTTGGCAAGATGGTGAAACAGTGGAAGAGTGTGTACTTGCTGCTGAGAACAGCAAGGTGCTCCTACACTGGATGCTACTACCGCTGGGGTCCTAAGAAATTCCTGGAGGAGTATTGGAGAGGTGTTCCACTCCTAAACAAACAAGAGACTGGCACAGATTAACTTGTCTCCACAGGCTTTGCACATTTTTGTTTCATAAATGAAGTGGGAAATTGAACCCACCTTCTAGATAATTCTAAAATAAAGCTCTGACTGAATCTTGTATCTATGCTATGATGATGAAATAATATATTTGGCCTGCAGCTACATGCTTATCTCCGGGATGGCCTAGAAAATTATCTTTAGACACACAGTGGAGTGGATATGTGTATCCAGTGGTAGCTTCAGTGAACAAACAAGAGACCTCTGGCTAACAGTCTGTAGCCAATAAGGAGCAAGTGAAAAAACAATAAAAATGATAACAATATGGAAACAATCTGAATGTATGCAACATGGTTTTGCAGATTTATTCTAAAATTCCACAAAAATTCTATTTGTGAAAATAGTTATTGTTCTACCTGCTCCTCCATCTGACACCATTTCCCAACCAGCCATATACATGTACATTTTCTATTTATAATCATAGTGGTTACAAGGATGGGCATGGGATTTGCAGAAACTGCTAAATTCTCACCAAATATGGCTTCCTTTTCTTAATCACATAGCTAGACCATATTTCCAGTGTTCCCAGCAGGTGTGTTCACATGACTGATTTGTAACCAATGAAATTTGAATGAAAATAATGTTATTTTGTACATCAGACTTGCCCATAAAGCTTCCTATGTTTGATTCTCCATATTCTTTTACCTTCCAGAGTTTGATGCCCACAAAAATGTCAACCTTGGAAGCCACCTATTAAAGGTCACAGAGCCACAATATGGAAGCCCAGTGGGTCTTTGAGTTGCTAGTTGGAGAAGCATTTCTTGATTGCAACATTATATGAGCAAGAAAAAAATTCTTTCACATTTGAGATTGTGTGATCACAGGCAAGTTATCTGACTTCATTTATGAAATAAAAAGGTCTATTTCTTAATTTATAAAATGGTGCAGTGATTCTAAAATATGTAGACAAACTCCTCAACACTCTTCTTTTCAAATGGTGGTACCTACTTCTCCTTTTAAGTATAGATGAAATTTAGCGACTTGCTTTCTAACAAACAGAATATAGTCATGAATCACTTAATGATGAGGATATATTCTGATAAATGCATCCTTGGGTGATTTCATCATTGTGTAAACATCATAGACTTGCTGTACTCACATAAAATAAAATAACTATAACATTACTCAAAATTATAATATTAACAGGACCACCATTATATAGTAATCTATCATTGACTGAAACATTCTTATTCATAAACAACTATAGGGCAGATGTGGTGGTGGGAGGCTTATGAGATTAGATTATGAAAGACTCTGTAATTTGGGCTGGGGATGTGGCTCAAGCGGTAGCGCGCTTGCCTGGCATGCGTGCGGCCCGGGTTCGATCCTCAGCACCACATACAAACAAGGATGTTGTGTCCGCCGAAAACTAAAAAAAATAAATATTAAAAAATTCTCTCTCTCTCTCTCTCTCTCTCTCTCTCTCTCTCTCTCTCTCTCACTCTCTGTTTAAAAAAAGAAAGAAAGAAAGAAAGACTCTGTAATTTCCTATTTGCCCTTATTCTTGGATATTTACCCTGGAGAAAGTGCCATTTTGTGAAGACATTTAAGCACAATCATGGAAAGGTCCACATGGTGATGAACTAAAGACTCCTGCCAACACCCATGTGGTTGAGCCACTTGGAAGCAGAGCCTCCAGTTCTAGACATGCCTTCAGATGATTGCATCCCTTGCTGACATCTTGATTATGATTGCATGAGAGAGACTATGAGCCAGAAATATCTAGCTCCTTCCAATTCCTGAGCCACAAAACTGTGTGATCCTCAGAACATAAGATGAGGGATATGTGAAGACTAGGAAGAATGATAGATGTGTTAAAATCAATAGAATGAAAGCCCAAATGAAGATCAAAGAATTGTTGGAATGGGAGTAGTGTTAAGGTATGCGACCTGGAAAGATAGAGTTTTTGGTCAAAGTGTACGGGGCTTTAAATCAAGATAATGGAAATAATAGAGTTCTGAGTCATCATGAGATCTTGGTTGTTAAGACCATGAGAGTTAATGCCTAAGGTGAACTAAAGGAAAGGTGATGGAAGTGAGAGGCTATGGAGATGGAATTATTTGCTAGAGTTGAAGTTATCAATGGTAATG